AAAGGCAGAATAAAAGAGGAAAATAGAGTATGATCAAGGTAAATTATATGCATGTATGAAAATTTCACAATGAATGCCATTACTTTGTACAATTAATATACACTAACTAAATATATAAAGAAAACAGGCAAAATGATAAATATATGTATATACTAGACTCTCCTACCCCCACTAGGTAACTGTCATATGTATGGATTTAAACCTAACGTAATATGGAGGTTTGATTGGATTGTAATATTCCTAAGTTTTATGTAACCTTTAAAATGTTATTATAAAATAACAAAGATAATTTTTTTGCCCATGAGAAGCAAAGGTTAAGGCTTGGGGCATGGTTCAAGAGTCATAGCAAGCTCAAGGCCCCAAATTCAAACCCTAGTACTACAAACAAAAAAAGAAGCAAAGGTTAAATGTTTATAACAAATGTTGGCAAGTATATGAAGAGACAGACATTTATTCTTGATGGGTTCAGTGGGAATTCATTCTGAAACTCAGGCAATATATTTTGGGATTTATAAATATCTGTGAGAAGAATCAAAGCAGTCCCTGACATCAAAGATATGCCATGATATTCACAGCTGGGCCCTTTGTGTTACCTTGTTAAATATAAATAATTTCACAGAACATCAACATCAGACAAGGCCCTTCTGTGACTGTGGTGTACCAAAACAAAAACAAGGCCATTCTGCAATCATATAGGATTGTAGAAAAACATTATCCCAATCAAAAAAAAAAAAGACAGCTGGCTAGTATCAGTGACTTCTGTTTCTTTACCAATCACAGCTTTGGCCTTGGCCTAGTCTTCCCCACTTGTAGAACAAGATTTATTTAGGTACCAAATTAGGGAATTACTCATGCTCCCTGACAGCTTTGAATCTACAGCAAAACCTCCATTCCTTTTACCTTTCCTCAAATCACCTAACACAGTCCCAGTCCTACAATAAGTCATTTCTAAAGCCTTCTTATTGAAGCACCCCATGATCCCCCAGAATGGGTATTCTTCCCTGCTGTGATAATAAAACCAACTTGTCCAAATACAGGCATGGTCCTGGTGGTCTTCAGCTAGAGAGAACTGCCATTCATGATCTTTAACAAACCAGTTCCATTTGAAGGAATTTTTCTTATGTAAATCTTCAAAGAGATGAACAAGGATGCTCAGTGTCCTTGATCCTCATAGGAAAAAAACCCAATGTTCATAACCAAGGGATTGATGAAATAACATATAATACAGCCATATAAAAGAATATATGCAGCTGATGAAAACTACAAAATAACGCTGAAATTATAAAAAAAACTAAGGATGGGGAGATATTTTATTGATGGGCCAGAATATTAAATATTGTTAGATGCAGGCTCTTGCCAAATTTATCTATTGATTCAAACCTATACTGATCAAAATATCAGCTGGAATATTTGTAGAAATTGACAAGCTGATTCTAAAACTCATATGGAAATACAAGAATAATAGTAACCAAAGTAACTGAAAATAAAGTTAGAAGAATCACAAAGCCTGATTTCAAGACATCATAAAGCTATAGTAATCAAGACAAGAGTGGCATTTGGATCAAGATATACAAGTAAATCAGTGGAACTGGACAGAATTTGGAAGTAAATCCACACATACAGGGACAACTAATTTCTGACAAAAATACAAAGGCAACTCACAGAAGAAAGAAGAGTCTTGCCAGCAAATAGTGCTAGAACAATTGGATATTACTAAGACAAAAAACGAATTTTGACCTATGACTTATACCACATACAAAAATTAACTCAAAATGGATTACAGCCTTAACCACAAAACCTAAAGCTATAAAACTCTCAGAAGGAAACAAAGGATAAAAGCTTTGTGACCTTGGTTAGACAAAGACTTCTTAAAACACCAAAACTCAACTAGTAAAAAACCCTTCTCTTCTAAGGACATTTTGAAGAGACCAGACATACCACAGACTAGGAGAAAATATCTGCAAAATATATATCTGGTAACACATATTAAGAACTCTTAAAAATCAATAAACCGGGTGCCAATGGCTCACGCCTATAATCCTAGCAACTCAGGAGGAAGAGATCAGGAGGATCATGGTTCAAAGCCAGCCAGGGCAAATACTTCCGTGAGACTCTATCTTGAAAAAAACCCATCACAAAAAAGGCCTTGTGGAGTGGCTCAAGGTGAAGGCCCTGAGTTCAAACTCCAGTACTGCAAAAAAAAAAATCAACAATAAGGCCAGATGCCATGGCTCAGGCCTGGAATCCTAGCTACTTGGGAAGTGAAGAACAGATCGTGGTTCAAAGCCAACCCCAGCAAGTAGCCTGTGAGACCTCCTATCTCAATTAATAGCTGGGTGTGGTGGCACACGCCTGCCATCCCAGCTATGCAAGGAAGCACAAATAGGAGAATCATAGTCCAGGCTAACTTGGGCATAAAGTGAGGCCCTACTGCAAAAATAACAAATGCAAAATAGACTGGTATAGCACTTGCCTAACAAGTGGGAGACCCTGAGTTCAATCCCCAGTAATGCCAAAAACAAACAAAAAATGGGCAAAAGATGTACATCACTGAAGATAGACAGATGGCAAATACATATATGAAAAGATGTTCAACATCATTAGTTATTAGATGCAAATTAGAACTACAAGGTATGGATAAAATTAAAAAGACTAGCAATACCAAATAGCAAGGATATAGAAAAAAACATTATTCTCATACGTAACTGTTGAATATAAAATGGCACCACCACTTTGGAAAATGTCAAAGTTAAATATACATTCCTAAGTATTTATTTATCCATAAGAAATAAAAGTATACACCCATAGAAATACTTGTACACGAATTCTCATAGCAGATTTATTTGTAACAACCAAAACCTGAACCCAAACCTGTCAACAGTTGAATGGATAAACTGTGGTAAAGACATTTAGTGCACTACTACTGGGCCATAAAAAATAATGGACTATTGAGACACAGGATACAGATGAAACTCAAATAATTATGCTGAGAGATATAGGCCAGACTCTCCCCTCCCAAGAGTATATGCTGTATGATTCCATTTATATGTAATTACAGAAAATGGAAACAACCGTTGTCAGGAAGCAAATCAGTACAGAGAAGTAGTAAGGGGCATAACAGAGGCATTAAGCTTTTAGAGCCTGGCACCATTCACTCATGCCTGCAAGACTGAGATCAAGAGGATCACTGTTCGAGGTCAACCATGGGGAAACAGTTCACGAGGCATGGCTCAAATGGTAAAATGTCTGCTGTGCAAGTGCAGAGCCGTGAATTCAACCCAGTCCCACCAAAGGAAAAAAAACAAGCTTTTGGAACAATGGATGTATTCAGTAGCTTGTGGTTATGGTTTCATATATTGATGTCAAAACTTATCAAAATTGTGTGCTTTAAATATGCAGCTTCATGTATGTCAATTATGGCTCAATAAAGCTATTTAATAAAAAGCATGTGGTAGACCTAAGTTGTAAAGATAACTATTAAAAGGAAAAGGTGAGATGCTGAATACTATATACCTGTTCTGTTTTTGGAAATGAGTAAATTCATGCATATTACACATGAAGAGAATATGCAATGAAAAATTATACTGCACACCAACTGTTAATAGGAAAAACATTTAAGTGATTCAAAATATTTTGTAGAAGCGTATTTATTGACATGGAAAGATGTTCAAAATATACAGTCAGTGGGGGGAAACAAATTACAAGTAGTATTTACAATTTGATCTTGTTCTACTTTTTTAACTATCTGAAAATCTCAAAGCATAAAATTTGATAGCTTCACACATAAACACTTCTGCCACATCTCAAAGATTTTAATTTCTGCCATGAGTCTTAGAGAATATAACCATAGCCCAAAAGTCTTGAGATGCTTTCTGAACCATACAGATTTCCAGGAATCACTATTTTGTAGGTTGGGACAGCAGCCTCTCATCTTGTTTCCTGTTCTAGATAGCTGAAGCTGCAGTTCTGGTTCTGTCAAATTTTAGCTAGTAAAAATGCAGAAACTAGGTTGCCTACTAAAATGGAGCCTTTGGCTTTTCATATGACATACAGAATAAATCATCTATGGTAAAAAAAATTAATGTATGATTTTGCAAGGAAAAATAAAGCAACTATCTTTTTAAAGCAGGATATAAAACAATGTACAGAATGATTCCAACTCTTTGAAGAAAATTACATAAGGATAGAAAAAGAAAAGAACAACACAAATCAAGTTTCACAATCTGATGACTTCACATCTACATCTTACTCATTTATCAAAGGTTTGGATACCTATCATGTCCTAGATGCTGCCAAATAAAATATATATATTCATCCCAGACTTTTTTCCTGATCCTCAGCCACATATAGCTAAATGACTAATGAACAAGTGCATTTGAAAGTTAAGAACTATGACTCCTGGCAGTGATATTATCCACTGCAAAATTAAACCATTAAAATCAAACAACCTTCAAAGGTGAGCTTTGAAGGCCATCACCTAAAAATGTAAAGGACTATAAGGTAGTATGGTGAGATGGGTTCTGGTGTCAGGTAAAACATCCATGCCACTTGTCAGCTGCGGGAATCTAGGAAAAAGTATTCATTGGCTCTAATTCTCACTGGAGAATATCCAGAACAATGAGTTTTAATAAATACATGAGTACCTAGCTCACAAAAGCATTCTAAGAAGAAACAAATTTGTAAAATGCAGTACCAACAGTGCCTAACAGAGGGGGCACTCAGTAAAATGTTTTCTCCCCATACCTACCCTCCCTTCTCTGACATAAATAAAATAATGTAAAAATGTAAGAGCTATAAATGTAGTTGCAAAATAAAAAATGAACAAATAGTACATTTTGTCTGAGATTCAGGGCCAATTCTGTGCTGTAGAGTGAATGTCTGATGCAGCTAGAACAGGAAAAATAGAACTTCCTCTCACATGAAACAACCTATAATAAACCCTGCCCTTTAATGTATCAAGAGGGCACATTTTATAATGAACATATATATTATATATACCCACATACTGTGGGTACTGTTTGTTATCTTTATATATATATATACATATATATATATGTATATATATATTACTTATGCCTTATTTCTGTAACTAGATTGCAAATCCATTTATTTTCTTTTTTGTCATTTGAGGCCACCAATGGATCTAAGCAGATACTAATGATCAAGGTAGCTTACTTATGATGAACTAGTTCACTATCTTCTTAAATACAATGTTAAAAATCTGCCAGTCTAAGCAAGATAAAAATCAACAAACATTTTCATCTCAAGATGTAACATCCAATATACCAAAATGATCTAGCTCTAAGCCACAGCCTGTCAAAAATATAACAGATAACGCACACACTGTAATAACCAAAACATTATTCAAGGCTCTGTGGGAATATCCAACCTCTCAGTTTGGAGACTGTTAAGTATTCTCTCATTTCTGGCTCATTTCACATTGATTTGATAATCCCTTTAACTTCACGGAAAATGGCCGTAAGTGTATTATAACTCAAGTGGTCAACAACTACAATTGAACCCTTTCTAACGTGCTCCTTTATGTTAATAAATATGGCTACACCAGTAACAAGATTGGCTTTTGCCTCTTTCTGGTTAAAGATAAGTTTCAATGCTGCCAGTGCCTTCATATTGATCATGTCTCTGGCTGCAGTTGGATTTTCAGACATATTCAAAAGTAGTTTCAAAACAAGATTTCTGGTTTTACGATTTCCCTGGGACAGCAAATGGAAAAGCTCTGAAAAATAATTGGCAACAATGTAGTGATGGACATAATCAGTAGTCAGTTGCCCTAGTATCTTTAATCCAGATTGCTGTCCAGGTGAGTTCAAGGGGAAAGACATGGTTTCCTTACACATATGCTTAACATGTAATTCAATCTTGCGTTGTCTTTCATCTCCAGAGGGAGGATTCAGAGTAATTACAGTCTTTTTTCTTGCTTCAGGGGAAGGAAAACTGAGCAAGCTTTCAATAAGTGTCACTACACCCACCTCATTAATGAATTCTTGGGCAAATGGATGAACATTATGGATACCCATTGCAATCTGTGCAATTTTATGAATGAGAGGATCTGTAGTTGACTTAAGGATGTTAACAAGTTTTTCAAATTCTTCAGAATTTAGGTAGCATTCCATTTTGCAAGGGCAAGCAAATGGTTTAATCCCATTCACTTCCCTGATCCTAATTTGTTGTCTAATTTCATCTAAGGTCTGGATGCAAGGATCAGAACCAAATGGGTACTCAGGGATTGGCTGTGAGCTTGAGCGAGTGCTCTTAGAGGAGCAGGCTGCTGCAGCAGGTGAAGAATGAGTATTTTCTTCAGCTGAGGCCAGAACAACAAATGAAGAAGGCCGTGTCTCAGGTGGGACCTTAGATTTAAATCCTAATATTGCTGGAGTTACAGCAGGGGCTTTGGGCCAGATCGTTACCTCTGACCAGTCCTTGGGCCTATTTTTTTCATTAATTTCATCTACTGGCTGAGGCCTAACTATTCTGTACACAGGTTTAGGATTCGAGTCAAAGCTAGTATCATCCCCTTCCCAAAACCAGTTCCCAATTACATTCTCTTCTTCTTCCTCCTCAGTACCTGACCTAGACTTGCAGCTGGCCTCTGCCACAGGCTCCAATACCTCAGCACTGCTCTGGGCACCAATATCAGCTTTATCTTCCTCCTTAGCACTGAAACGATTACCAGCCTCTTCTCCCTTCCAGAACCAGGAATTAATACTACCCTCTTCCCCAGCCCAGAACCAGGTATCAGTACCAACCTTATCTTTACATTTGGCACTAGTAGCCTCGTTCTCAGTCTTGGCACTGCAATCTGCCATGGCTTTCACTGGAGCTTTAGGCTCTAACTGAGCTCCTTCCTTCATCTCAGCAACAACCCTGTTCTTAGATACTGCCTTCATCTCTGCCACTGCATCTGATTTAGGTTTTGCCTTGGTTTTTGCTTTGGCCTGGGTTTTGGCTACAGGTTTGACTACACCAGTCGCCTCCTTCTCTGCCCCACCTTTACCCTGTACGCTTGCCCTTTTTTCAGTTTTGGCCTGCGCTCTAGCCTTATTCTTTGTCCCCGTCATGGTTGAAGCAATTATATATATATTTGCCCTGAGATGGCCTTAGTTTTCAGTGTATCACAGGTTGGTGTCTTTACACTCTTTTACTGGGTCAGAGATGAACCTGGTAGCAAGAGGTAAGAGTCAATTGTCAGTTTAGCAGTCACACAGTCTCCTTTCAATGATATGGACAAAGTAAAGGCACAATCTGGCTGGGGGAGGATGATGGTGCCTGAGAGGAGACCTGTAAAAAGTGATGATCTTCTGTCAATCCAAGGCCACCAATGGAGACAGACCTGAAGTAGAAGAAAGAAATGGGCTTTAAGTTCCCTCCAATTTTTTTTCTCTATGCAAACAGGCAACAGAAGATCATGAGAACACAGATGGATTGGGTGACAGAAGTTGATTAGTAGAAAACTATTATTTCATTTTATTTCTCAATGTCCTGCCCAAGCACTACCATTCTTTCCTTGGCACGAAACACAACAGGAATAATGGATAAGTTGCTGAGAATGAGAGAAGCTATGGAGTGTTCAGTATTTTGGACACATACTAGGCACTATAGGTCTATCCAGACAGGCCTCATGTCAACCTGCACTGATTTGATGCAATTTTCTCCTCCTTCCTCACTTCCAGTGTTGATAATGCCTACAGCCATCAAACAGGCAGACTGATGTACAAAAATACATATGGGATTGAACTCTGCACTCTGGTTTCCCAATAACTGCCTTTCCAAATCTATAACTTTGGTTATATAACACTTCTGGCCCTCACTACTTTCCTTATGACTCTTCTCCCCATTTCTTGCTGCAATATCTGTCAAACATAGTCCTGGCTCACATTGCCCCCATTTTCTGCACACAAATTTGAGGGCAATGATGTCTGGAAAGTTGATAAACAATGGATCCAACATATGATCTGGTCTCACCCACATGCCAACAGTCACTTCCACCCGCAATCAGCAGGGGTGATCAAGCTTATATTCATACCTACCTTGGATCCAAATGAATAGTTTTTGTTCTTTTTCTTAATTCACCTCCAAGTGAGCAGCTACCTACAGGTCTCTACAGGAACCTAGAAAGGAACAGACCTACTAACAAAAAAGCAGAGGCAAAACAAAGAGACTAAGAAGGCCCCATATCCGGGACAAGGTTTGTAACATATGCTTTTGTGAACTGAAGACTATGTTCAATGTCTCCCACTTGTCTGCACCTCCCCAGTTATTCCTTAGCTATCTCCCCCAAGACTTCAGTCTGTCTGATTATATCCCCAACCCAATTTTGAAGCTGATCATTTTCCCAGCAGGGGCTACATCTCTTTCCCTGAAGAAGTACAGAAATAGGCAGTGGAACACAGGCAAATACATTTAGACAGCAGGCAGGGAAGCTAATGAGCATAAGCATTTCAATATAATTTTTGCATGCTCCCCTTTTCCCATGCATACCTAAATCCTACCTCATTCACCACTAAATTCAGACTGCCCACATAGCAGGGTACTCGGAGGATGCTATCCTTCCCACCAAAGAAGTCTTCTCTGGCTGAAAGTCACAACCTATAGAAAGGCAAGATATTCATCAAAACATGAAGAAACTATGCTGAGCTGGGGGTGTAGCTCAAGTGATGCAGTGCTTAGTTAGCAAGCACAAGGCCTTGTATTTAAACCCCAGTACCACTACTATAAAAAAGGAAAATAAAAAAATATGTTGACAATAGTAGAAAAATATCAGGTTAATGGACAGATTTCCAGAAGTAAGGACTGAACACCTTGTTTATAAGAATCAGGAACTAAGAGAATGAAGTCTAGCTAGCATCTCTCACAGTACGATTGATGCCCATCTGCACAAATGCCATATTTTCTATGAGACTGCCTCTGTACAAAAATTAGGGGGACAACAAAAGGTGCCTGGAATTGATAATGTGTGGGGTTCCAGAAACAGACACTGAAGAAGCAGATTGACTTCAAACGTTCTAAATTGACCCTTCATAAAAACTTCCCTCTAATTTTAACTCCCATTCCCACAATATCAAAATATTACTCAAAGTGGACTGGGATACTGAGAAAAATAGATTCTAAATATCAAAGGCAGATTAATACCATACTATTTATTTACATGGCTTGTTGCTGTGAAATCTGATCACTCTTCATCTTGACCATTTGCTTGCACTAAACTGGGCATGAGGATCTAAATATAGAAGGCAAAAAAACAGTGCTGTGCTAAAGAGACATGAATATATTTTGGTGTCTTCATAATTCACCCTCAAATGGCTCCCCTTCTCCAGACCTACACAAGACCTACTGAGTGGCCTTTGACATCAAGCAGGAGCCTGTGGGAAAGGACAGCACCCAGGACACCGGGCCCCAACAGACCCCTTTTCAGAACTAGGGCCCGAGTAGGGAAGGCGACCACTCTTCACCAGTTGAGCTCAGATGCCCGCCTCTGTCCCAGACCTAGCGGCCTCCCACAGCGCCCCCCTACCCGCTCCAGCTCCCGTGCCGCCATTTCTTCCGCAGCAGCCTCCCCCACAACCCTCTCAGGGCACAGACACGATCGAGGGCGGGGCGCGGGCAGCTGGGAAGCGGGCTGGAAGGCGGTCGGCGCGGCTGGCCTCCATACCATCTGAAGGAGCCGCTCTGCCCACCCCGCTCCGCCCTTGGCCCGGCCAGACCCGCGCCGCTCACAGCCTCCTCGTCGCCAGGGGTCCCCGGCACTGCGCACCTCTCTGGCGGATCCGTTCCGACCCGCTCGCCTCCTCCGCGTGGAGCTGTTGGAGTCTGGGGGACAGGCGGTCAGCCGGCCGGCAGTGGGAGACCACCCCGCGCCCCCCGCACGCCCCCACTTGCCTTTTCAGGCTCAAGGCCCAGGGAGACGGGCTCCCCCTGCTCTCCTGCGCTCTCCTCTCCTCCCGCCGCTCCTTGCTCAGACTCCCACCGCTTTCCGCGCGATCGGAATGGCAACGAGGCGCCCCGCCCCCACGCCTCTGCACCAAAGCCGGCAGGGGCTGCGCAGGATGCGGCAAGAACCGCTCGCCTCGAGGTGTCGGGAAGGGGGCGGAGGGATACGGCGCGAATGGGCTCGACGCCCCCTCCCATGCCCACCATAGTTCCGACCCGGAGTGGCGGGGCCGGGACGAGCCCCAGTCTGAGGGGCGGGCTCCTGCCGGTTTGCCTCAGTAAGACCCCCGACCGCCTGCCCTAACTTGGCGACCACCCCCACCTTTCTGCCACCGCTATGGTGCGTGGCCAGGAGGGGACTCAGGGCCAGCGGCTGAGCTGTGGGGAGGGGAGGGGGGAACCGATATCGGGAGGTCTGGAATTGCTGCGCTGGAGGGAGCAGCGGATGGATACCTACTCGCCCCTTGATGCGGTGCACCCCACACTGCGCACTGCCTGTCCCCTCCCCTCTATTACCCCGCCTGCTCCCGCTCCTTCCCGGATGCTACCGGGAGAAACGGTGTCAGCACTGCAGGCTGAGAGGGCCAGGTGACCTCACAACACAGCAACAAGGGGTCTCTAGGGGCTTCTCCCATGTTTTTCTTCCATTGCTTCATGGAGCCATGAAGGGGAGGAAGGCACTTAAGGGGACTGAGGTGGGGGCCCCCATTACAGGCCTCACCTCTGCTCCTCTTCCAAAGGAAGGCTGGCCTGCACCTGTAGTCTCAGGAAACCAACCATTGGTCTGTGCCAAGTGTCATTCCTTCTGCCATGCTGAGCTTTTCTCATTCCCAGTGGGAACTCATTTGGTCATTGCGCTGTCCCCACTCTTGCCCAGAAAAGAGGGCTTTTCTCTGTCAGGACACACAGGGGCTCATATGGTCCTCCCTCTACTGAAACTCAGCCACAAAGTTATTTGGTCCCAAGTAGGACCCATCCTGACTCACTCCACTCTTCTGTCAGGAATGGGAATCATTTCCTAGGCACTTCCTCAAGGTAGATCTCAAGGGCTCTCTTCAACACCTCCCTCAGCCTTACATCCTGCCTTATGAATGCTTATGTTCTTTAGCCCTGAATATATACAAGTTGAGTCAGACTGTAAGTTCTATAAATGAAGGGCTCCATTTTGCTTTCTTTTCCACTATTGTGTCCACAGCACATAGTAGACAAAAGTAGTCAGTGTTTTAAGGATGTGAGGGGCCAGTAAATCATGAAAATTTCATAGTACCCAATAAATTAGTGGTTGCAGCTCAATGCTAATCTATATATGCCTCTTTGTCTTTGATGCTTATAACCTAAGGGCTTAGCCCAGAGTCTGCCACACAGTTGGTGCTCTCTGTATATGTTTTTTTCAATGAAGAAAGCAGGAGGTGAATTAGGTTCTTGTGAACCAACTTCAGAAGTACTCATTTGTTAGAAAAACTAGTAATACCTGCATTGTAAATTATAGGGCACAAAAAGGCAGAAAAAATAATGATCCTTTTACCTCATCATTTGTAATACCTTTAGAATCTCTAAATATGTCACACTAATGTGATTTAGAAGATATTAATCATACAAGTTATTTCTTATCCAAAATGCTTGGGACCATAAGTATTTACAGGTTGAGGACCCCCTAATCTCAAAATGCAACATGCTTCTATATCTGAAACTTAGGAGTTTCAAGCATCTAAAGATAAAGTTTGGAGTATTTTGGATTTGGTGTTGAGGTACTCAATGGTGAAGCCTATGTAAATATTTTAAATTCTGAAAGACTTAGAAATCTGAAACATTTCTGTTCCCAAGCATTTTGGTAAGAGATTCTCAATGTGTATGTACAAGTACATTCATTAAATTCAGTATCTCTTACAATACCAATTAATTATAAATAATCTATCAATTGGGAAAGGATTAAGCTAAGTGTGATATATTTATTCTACAAACAACTATTCTAGCCTACTATCTTATCAAAAAGAGCAGAGTAGCTGTCTATATACCAAAAGGGAAATAACTCCAGATAAAGTGAAAATGCAAATTATACGATAAACACAATTCCTTTTATGGAAAGTATGCTGTGTGAAAAACATATAAGGTATTTGCTATGCAGAGAAAGATGGCATGTATGTATTTTAGAAGCATCCTCTTCCTTTTTTTTCTGTATATATTCTATATTGTTTGTTTTACAATAAGAATATATTTATATATGTTTGGCATATGTTTTAGCAGTTTTGATTTGAACCCATGTGGTGGTGTTTTCATTCTCAAAGAACCATAATGAGAATTCTGATGCTGTATTGTTCACATTCTATAGGACTGGGAGACATAATTCACTTATAAGGATAGAAAACAAAATTATATACTTAAAAACGTATTTTCTAAGTGAGATCCTCACATGCTTTTGATGACTACATTAGCAAAAATAGTGGTTTCTGAACAAAGGAGTGAAAATTCCCTCTTCCTAGTTTGGTCTAGCTACACCTGAGTATCACATGTAAGGATGGTTGTTGATACTGAGATGCTCAAAGATGAAGACACTAGTAAGAATGTCTTTATTGTTCTCTGACACATGTCCTTTCTCTTTATAGATGTATGTTTCTAACCTATATTGTTCTTTCTCCATGAAGAACTTATTTTCCCCTTTTAAATTAACATATATGAGTTGTACAAAATAATGAGTTTTATTGGAAATTTTCACACATAAATATAAGCATATAAAATACTTTGGTCATTCACACACACATACACCTGAAGAATTTCTTCACATTAGATGTAGGGCAGATCTATTGGCAATGAATATCCTCAGTTCTTGAGAATTTATTTCTTTTTGATATTTTAAGGACAATTTGACTCATATAGAAGTCTAGGTTGATGTTTTTTCTTCTTTCAATATTTTAAATATGTCAGTTAACTTTTTTCTTGCTCCCATGATTTCTGGTATGTCCACTATAATTTTTGTTCTTGTTCCTCAAGGAGATTTTTGTTTGTATCTTTCAATATTTTCTCTTTGTCTTCCTGCAGTTTGTATATTACATGCCTAAATATAGACTTCTTTGGTATTTATGCTGATTTGGTATTTTCTGAAATTCCAGGATCTGTGATTTGGTGCTTGTCATTAATTTTGAAAAATTCTCAGCTATTATTACTTTAAATATTTCTTCTATTTCAAATTCACTGTTTTCTTTCTGGTATGCAAACTATGCATATGTTATACTTTTTGGAATCTTCCCACAGTTCTTTGATATTTTATTCTTTTTTTCTTATTCTTTTTTTATTTTTGCTTTTCAATTTGGAGATTTCTGTTGATCAAACTTACTGATTTTTGGCTCACTTTCTCCAGTCTACTGGGCATTCTTCATTTTTGTTACGGTGTTTTCAATTTATAGCATTTCCTTTTTATTGTATATTTTTGCTCCATTGCCCATCTATTCTTGCACACTGCCTATATTTTCTATTAGAGCTGTTAATCTATTAAACATAGTTACTTTAAATTCCTTATATTATAATCCAACATCTACATTATATCTGAGTCTGGTTCTAATGCATGCATGCTGTACTTTTTTCTTACCTTTAAGCAAACATTGTAATTTTCTGTTGAAAGCTGGATATTACATTATAGGTGACAGGAAATGAGGTAAATAAACCTTTAGTAAGAATTTTTATGCTAAGCTGGTTAGGAGTTCGATTGTTCTTAGTGTTTATGGTAAAAGCTATAGGTGCCAGAGACTTCAAATTCCTTTAATGTCCGTTTCATTTTTGTCTTCCCTCTTAACTTTGGGCCTCACTGTGTACTCCTTTTCAGAGAATCTACAGCTTGCAGCTCTTTTAGCTGTTGTCTACTGTTACACTAAAGCTTTGTTAGTATGGGCTAATTGTGGAGGAGGGAAAGTGTCTTTATAATGTTCTGATTAAATTCTAGTCTTTCGTGGGGCCTGTGTCCTGGGGCTGTGACCTTTTCCAGTGTTTTTTAAGCTTTTTCTTTCTCTTACATAATATTGGAAATCTAGAGGGGCTAGAGTAAGAGGTATGTTTTTTTTTTTAAGCTGGGATAAGGCTCTGGGAAAGCCTTTTCCATTGGAGAGTAGACTTTTGTCACAATGAAGGCTCTGGATGTATTTCATAACAGTAAGAGTTCTTTCCCACTGCCAGATACCTGAGGCAATCTTTCTGGGATCTTCACTGCAAGACCCTGGTTTGAGGCAAAGCCCACAATACTGTCATAATCTCCACCCAAAACTGAAGGTCCCCAGTGGTTCTCATTCTCATACTATTCCAGACTCAGTCTCCAGCAATTCATCAAAATTACCATTCAAGCCAGGCGCCAATGGCTGACTCACATCTGTAAGCCTAGTTACTCAGGAAGCAGAGATCAGGAGGATCATGGTTCGAAGCCAGCCCGGAGAAATAGTTCCATGAGACCCTATCTCAAAAAAATCTTCACAAAAAGGGCTGGTGGAGTGGCTCAAGGTGAAGGTTCTGAATTCAAGACCCAGTACCTCAAACAAAACAAAAAAATTACCATTCAGGTGTTTTTACCTTAACAATGAAAAATGAAGTCTCCAGCAACTTCTGTTGTATGTAAAAAGAGATAGTATGTGACTCCCTGGACTTGCTCTTTCTCTAGAGTTTGGGGTGTTTATTTGCAATATGACTTCAGTTGTCTGATGGGTCTAAGAAAAGCTGTTAATTCTTAGTTTACTTTGATTTTTGTTGATTGTAGGTATATGAGCAATGACTTCCAAGATCTTTACATGTCAGAGCTGACACTGGGAATCTGGCTATGGGTCTTAACA